GCATTACTTGTTATGGAGTCAGGTCATGGTGGCAGTAGTGTGAGCAGGGAGGCTCAGACCTCCTTTTCCAGCTCTTTTGGAAAGATCCCAAGACACTCCCAGGCCAAACAAGAGAATAGTCTCTCCAGCATGTCCTGGTTCTTCCTTTGGGTCTCCTCCCAGTCAAACATGCCTGAAGCACCTCCCTAGGGTGGTGTCCAGGAGGCATCCTTACCAGATGCCTGAACCACCTCAAATGGCTCCTCTSTATGTGGAGGAGCAGCAGCTCTACTCTGAGTCTCTCCTGGATCACTGAACTTCTCATCGTATCTCAAAGGGAGAGTCCAGCTACCCTACGGAGAAAACACATTTTGACTGCCTGTATCCATGATCTCATTCTTTTGTTCACTACCCAAAGTTCATGCTTGTTTGTCTTTGTGTCTATGGTGTATAATGATGTGATTGTGATGCTGTAATTCTGAGTGTTTTCTGTGCTGCAGAACAGGAACCTGCTGTAAAACAGCAATTATGCTGAGTCAGGCTTGATTTTTARTAATCTTTTCCTGTTAAATAAATAAATCAAATCTAAATCAAATATAGGGGAAGGTGGGAATATAGGCCATCCAGTAAACAATACCGTGGATGCTACTCTGATTAGGGGTGCAACTGTACATGTACTGTATCTGTATCTGATTGTTTAATACAGTGCTTTAGGTTTAATACATGTTATGTATCGAACAATACAGATTTTTAAAATTTATTTTATCAACTTGTCTTCTGAAGATGAGCTGTGTTGAAGGATCAGTGAATCTGTGTTTGACAACTCCACCTAATTTCCACGGAGCACAGATCCACTGAGAAACTTGCTGTTTCAGCAACATTTACTTTAAAAACTGTAGTTTTGAGATTAAACATATGTTCATAATTTATTTCAATAAATTACAAGTTAAGGAGAGCATGGAAATTTCTCTTTTTTTGTATCAAAAAAATATCAAACCGTGAGACTAAAGTATTGAAACGAACCAAATATTTTCTGTATCATTGCACCCTGAGCCCTGATCCATCTGTCAATCTCATACTCTATTCTTCACTTGTGATACTTGAACTCCTCCACTTGAGGCAGAATCTCACCCCCAACCCAGAGAGAGCAATCCGCCCTTTTCCAACTGAGTAACATGGAGTGAAATTTGGAGGTGCTGATCCTTATCCTTCCAGCATGATGATGACGCCAACAGRACCACATCATCTGCAGAGATGGAATCCTGAGGCCACCGAACCAGACTCCCTTTGCCCCCTGGCTGCACTGAGAAATTCTGTCCACAAAAGTTGTGAATAGCATCAGAGACAATGCTGAGCTCTGATGGAGTCCAACTCCCGCCCTGAACCMAACACTCACACTGCTAGTAGCAAAATATATGAAAGTATAAATAAAAGCAACACAAATCAGGTTTTTAAAATAGACTTTGTGAYGATTTCAAGCTGTTTCAGTTGTGTCTCTAGAAACGGCCCCTCCACGTCCATATATGGGGTGACATCACACCAGGGATGCTMTCATGCAAGATCACCAGATTTCTCTTGCAGAAGGCTGGAGGAAGCTGACCCCCGTGGAAAAAAAAACACCTCCCACCTCCTTTCTGACTGAGGCCCAAATTAGTTCTTTTGACAACACACACACATGTAAGTGTGTAATCAACCCTCACTTTGTTCTGTTTTTGTACATTAGTGCTCAGTGTACGTGCTTGACTCTTCAAGGATGCAGACCAGTGATGCTGAATAAAAAGAAGCCACTTGTTGCCATGGAAACCTGAAGCACAAATACCTGTGAAGGTAATCTGAAGAGCCACACATTTGATAATGCATTTATCTGTCGGTGACAAGTCAAACACACAGATGAGGTTTGTTATATTTTATAATCACCTTACAGCAGAGCAGATGAGAGGTAAATAACTAAAACTGTAAATATTTTAATATCAGAGCACTAAAAATGGGACAGACGTGGAACAAAAGATGTTTTCAGATGTGGCTAAAGAACACTGCAAACTGGTCACTTCTCTCYGATCACACCAGGACCAGAACTGTGTGTCCTGGATAATTAGCGGTCCGCTAACATGTGAGCTCAGCTGGGCTACAGGCAGCTGGAAGCAAGCTGCCCATTCTTTCATGTGCATTACCATGGTGATGAGCTGTACCGTATGGAACATGCAGATAACCTCGTTACACTCACTTATTTTGGGCCAGCTGATTTTTACTTGATCTGTGTCATTTACAGCGACAATGTTCCCTATTTGTTCTCACATGTGGCACTCAAGCAGTTTTTCTAGGTAAACATTGATTATAAATGTCGTGAGTAATATCTGCCTCTCATACAGTGAGACACAAGCTCCCCTCGAAAAGGAAAAACACAGAACAAAGATGGATGGATGGATGGATGGATGGATGAATGGATGGATGGATGGATGGATGGATG